TCGTGTACTGCAGTAGGTATACCAAAAGTGTTAGTGCTTAATGTGAGCTGCCTTAAATACATTTGGAATTTCCCATCAGAAAGTTGTTATTTCCACCATTTTCCAGCAACATTGTTTCATTATAATCACATTTCTGGCACTGCTGTAGGGTCTCTTTTGTCCTCTCTTTGCCTCTCTCATTGCCACCTCTCCTTACTCCTCTCATTGCCACCTCTCCTTACTCCTCTCATTGCCACCTCTCCTTACTCATTCCCTATACTACATCATTGAAAACATAGCAGGATAAAACGAGTTTTGGGGAACAAATGTTTCTAGCAGACTTCCTCTATAAAAGCCATAAATCAACCACGGCTGGATTATCCCTCGCTAGTTTCCTGTGGTCAGCAGCACTGAGAGCCATATTTATACCCCTAATGAAAGCCATGAGACATCTACAGCATTGGACTGTGGATGTGTGTGAAAAGAGTGTTTCTGAGCGGGGACACGGCTTCAGAGTCACATGTGGCGACAGAGTGTTTGTGCGTGACTGGTTCTCCTTCAGATGGTATGTGTGATTTCGCATTTGTCTGTATGAGTGGTCACATCATTTATATGGAATTATGTATTGCACATTTGTCCCATACCATCTGCTCCCGGTTGTTTTGGGGCATCTAGGGACATCTAGTGGTGGTAGGCAATATTTCAAAGAGGACTGTTTTTGTGTTCGGCTTATTTGTTTTCTCCCCTCCTCTGAAGTCTGAGACAGTGAGAGATGATTTGAGTGACTACAAAGTCAAGTAAATCGAGAGTACAGATCACTTTTCCTGGACCACTGTCTCTCATTCACTGCCTGTTGCATCCATCTCTTAGAAAGGATGTTTAAAATGCTTTTCTTTGCACGTCACTTTCTTCCAGTTCTCCTGAGAGCTGCGTCTGAACTGGGACTTTCTCTGTTGTTGCTTTCGCCATTCCTTCCCTTCTAGAATAGTATCTCATAACTTTCTAAGTGCTGGAGAGTTATGCTCAGTCAGAGTCAGAATAGATGGAAAGAGTATTGGAGAGTTTTGCTGGTGCACTGAGCAAGGCCAGGGTTGAAACTCCATCCCTGTCTAAATATTATCTCAGGCAGCGGCCTCATACCGCAGCCAGAGGAGAGAGAGGAGAGGAGAGCCATTGATTCCAGACATACTCCCTCTTTTACATCCCATCCCTCTCTTTCTCTTTGTCCCTCCGTTCCTCTTCAAAGATCATTGCTGACCGCTTCAAACAAACACACAATGCACTCATAGAAAACACTGGCAAGCCGCTGCACAGGAAGGATGCAAACGGCTTCCTGTTTTTATCCATCGCGCAGTGTTTTGGCTTTTGATTGATATAGCATTTAGCAGAATCTTTGATGGAACTACAAAGATGGCACTTCCTTTGTCTTACACTGGGACATGAATGTGAACAGTGATTCGGTTGTGTCATTCTCTCCCTCTCTCTGCGTCCGTCTGTGTTGAGGCTGATCTCATGTATCATGGTGTGTATGTGAGGAAGGTTGTTTGTAATTTTTCTCCTTGTTACTTGGCCCTGCCAGAATATTCATGGAAAGACATTTGGCCTCACATGCAGCAGCACACTGAGGCCTTACAGACTCCATCGTTAAAAGTAACTTTAGTTTAGTTGATACACTGTGTGTGTTTATTTGTGTGCTACATTTGGCTCTGTGTGTTAGTGTGAGGTTCATAGCCCTAGCATCTATCAGGAAGCTTAATGACAGGTGCAAAGACTCCATTTGAAAGCCAGCTTTAATTATTATTATGGGGGGAGGTGGAGGAATGACAATTAGTTTTGGCCTGCCCTCAGGCCAGCACTGTAATAGGCACACCATTTGCATATTCAGTCATTATAAATAATATGGATTTGCATATTCAATAACTGTGATTCTGAAAGCATGTTCATGAAAAACACAAACCATCTCATGAGACACAAAATCACATTTGTTTTTTCTGTTTGTGTGTGTTGACAGTGTCTATAGGAAGACGCGTCCAAGATCCAATGGCTGAGCTCGTGAAGATTGATCCGAAACACATCGGCATCGGAACATACCAGGTGAGTGTTGTATTTGTTTCTGCTGATATGTTCCCTGCTCCTGCGGGCTTCTTGTCCGGTCAGTGGAACATCTGCTGTGAGTTAGACTGAAGCAAAGGGCCGAGTAGACGTGTGTGTGTGTGTGTGTGTGTGTGTGTGTGTGTGCTGACGTTGGTGTAAAATCACATTACTGTAAACCATGATTATACACACATGTGGTTTGTAATAGCACCGAATGCTATAGGGACTTACAGTAATCGCAGATAAACAACAAAGTGTGTCTTTTGATATTATATATTTTTTTCTTTCTATGAATCCTTATCTGTTTGGCCAGTATTGCCTCTGTCTGCTGACAATGTGCCTATTTGCATTCATGCCAAGTTTAGGTGTGACTCTATTATTTTATTCAAAAACAAGGAAGCAATATTGTTGACTTGAGGCATGAAGGCATTGGAATGAGGGTTTGAGAGATGAGAGGTAAGCAGGGAAAAATATCAACTTGGCTGAGGCCTGTGTCAACACATGATGCCGAGGGTGACCGCTAATTCAATTAAAGGAGATCAGGCATGACGTGAGTTTGAACATTTGTTTTTTCTGGTGCGCCTGCTGTTCCTTGCCCTTATGTGCTCAAGTGTGTGTGCAGATGCAGCAACAGTTACTTTATTTCAAGTGTGTTTATAATTGTGTGAGACAGGGAAGACAAGCATTAGGTCATACTTTTTACACCAGCTATTAATGCGGTATTGTTCTCCAAATATGGAAAGTTGTGAGGGGCAAAATGCGAGGATGGACATGTACAAAACTAAACGGATTGAGGAAGACAAAGGCAAGAATAAGTTACAATTGGCAGCCCATAGTGAGTACATTATCTTTTAAGAAAAGGGCAGAAGCATCATTATGAGATCAGAGGAGAGAGTTTCTTGAATAGTCTTTTCACGGCTCTATAAAACTGTAGGGCTACGCAAAAATATAAATTTCATGAATGATGAATCTGTTATTTTGTGTAAACTCATTTAGTTGCTTAATGATGATTAATGATTTTTTTGTTGAAGATTGGTTAATTTTTGCTAAATGATTTTTCTTGTATGAACAATTAATTACATTTAAATTAGGGCTGTCAAGTTAACGCGTTAACGCAAAAAAAAATTGACGCCACTAATTATTTTAACGCGATTAACGCATGTGTATTTTTTGTCCTCGGCCGCCCCGTAGTTTCAGAGCGCATCGAGTTTAAAATACCATCTACAAGCTGATGCTGACAGCCCCGCTCCTGCCGCCTGCTTGCGGCAGACCACACTTCCACGCTCACCGGCAGGCACCGACTGGCTGTTGGGAGGACCGGGAGGGTGTGTGTATGTGTGGCCCGAGCGAGAGAGAGACCTTACGTGCATTGTTGTTGTTAGCATCTGGTGCTAGCTAGCTGCGCTAACGGATATAAGGAGCTGTTTCAATGAAAACAGAGGAGCGACATTTCGCCACAACTGCGCCGAGCACTTGACTTTATGCAGGAAGCCAGACAGTGGGACATTGTACGAAAAGTCAGCACACTCAGCACGGATAGTGCGCAACATGATTGCAGCGTCCAGGCAGCTCCCGTTCGAGCATATGCCTTGAGTTGCACATAGCTCCAACGATCCATCACACACACACACACACACACACACACACACACACACACACACACACACACACACACACACACACACACACACACACACATACACACACACACACACACACACACACACACACACACGCGCACACACACACCACACACACACACACACACACACACACACACACACACACACACACACACACACACACACTTTGTATTGTATTATTGAATGAGAGAGGTTCCAGGTTGAATTGAGGCGAATATTTGTAATGTTCAGAGGTTGTTGTGTTTAATATTCATGAGAATATTTGTCATTGTTCAAATGATAATAAACGTTAGCATAAAGCATATTTGTCCACTCATATGTTGATAAGAGTATTACAAACTTGAAAAATATTCCTCTAAGGTACATTTAGAACAGATAAAAAATGTGCGATTAATCGCGATTAACTATTTTAATCGATTGACAGCCCTAATTTAAATGTTAATTAAACAATTATTGACTCATTTAGTCGGCCCTATGGAAGTGTGCAGTCTTTCTGTTGAAAAAAGGGAACTCCTGTACAACAGGATTACTTTAATGATGCTTCTGTATTTATACTTTCCTCACTGTCAACATGTGGCTGATAAACTGTACTTATTTGTAGCATTGATTTGACTTTAATGGAAGAATCCAAGAGAAGAAGAGAAAGAAAGAGGGTCAAAGGACAGCAGAGGGTGACAAAAGTCAAAAGAAAAGGAGTGATGAGGAAGTTGAAGGGTGAGGGGGGGGGGAAATGGATATTTGAAAGAGAAAGGAAGAGGTCATATTGTGCTTGTGCTGATGCATGCTTGGCTGAGTGTGTCGGGTCACGGGCCCGTGTCTCTCATCACGTCTTGACTCGGGCTCTCTGGGGCTCCCCGGGTTCTGCACCTCCCGCTCTCAGATCATGTGACTACGTCAACAAATGATAATATAACCGGGTAAATAAACTCTGGGTGCTGACAGATATGAGATGGGACATCACTTTGACCTGCGCGTCGGCTCGCTCAAACACACACGTACACACTATCCTTCCCATCCTTTTTTCCGACTTTAAGGGCTAAGTGTGTGTGCGCATGTGTGTAGATTCATATCAGTGTATTGTGGATGTATATGTGGGAGAATGAGTGTGAGAGAAAGTGCACTCATGCATATGTGAGGATTTCTTGCTAGTTCTTTTGTGCGATTCGTGGTATTTTGAGCTTTCTCAGAGTTTATTGTCATTAGACCCAGGAAGCATACGGGCAGATGTAACTCTAGACAGCTGGCACAGCATGTTCTCTCTCTCTCCCTCCCTCTGCTGACCCACTGACTGACAGCTCTGAGAGAAAGGAGGAAATGAGCTGAGGGCTAAAAAAGTGAGGCCCATTAAAATCAGATTGGATGTAACTATTGGTGTGGGAACATTGTTTTCACTACAGCACCTCTGGCTGGATACTGAGTTTGCCAGATACACGTCTGGTTGAATGCCAGTGTTTTTGTAGTATTTGTGGTTAGCTTCAGTACAATTCATTTAAACTTCTTCTAATGTATTTGCGCTTCATTGTTATACACTTTCACGGACAAGCATTTCAGGAGTCGTGTGTCCTTTCAGAAATAAAAAAGACACTTTGTGGGCGTGGCCTTTGCACAGATCTCCATCTGTCAATCAGCTCTTTACTGTATGTTGCCATGGTCTGTTGACAGCTGGGTAATCCCCAGGGCTGTGAAACTAACTGCTACTGGAAAATACACACACAGACACACACTGCTGTGTAAGAAAACATTGCCCGCAAGCCGGATATTAAAGAAACTGTCAATCTTCCCCCTCACCTCTTTCAACCGTTCTCCTTCTCTCACAGATAGAGTTTTTCCACTCCAGCCCGATGTCCTCCCTTCCTCAGACTCGCTGTCATGATATCTTTCCTTCTCTTTCTCTTATGTGGTACAACATGTATAGTGGACATACACTGTACAGGAACATCAGATGTGGCACCAAGTCACTCAATGTTTAAACCAGAGCAAACCACTTTCACCTAGAACTAGTGAACATGATGTAACTTCACTATTACATTAAGGTGTGCAGCAGTGCAAGTGTGTGTGTGCGCTTGAGTATGTTGTTATCACTCTCCCTCTTGAATGGCAGTGCCTTCAGGGGAGGCAGGAGCAGACAGGGCTGCGAGACGGAAGAAGAGACAGAAAATGAAGAGTTGACAGTGATTGAACGTTTCTGCCTCCGTGTTTCGAGGCATGGGAAAAAACTAAACTGGCTCCTAAAGATTTGATACTATATCTAATACTATTTAAACTATGGTCTGTAAAAGCAAGCATCTGTTTGTTTGGTTGTGAGATGAGTCAAGCTTGTTTTTTAAAGATATGATAGACATTGATCATAAGCAGGATAAATGAAGTAATGATGTGGTTTTGTGTGATTAAAGATAATGAGCTGAAAGTAGCTGACCCCGGCTTCAACTATTGGGAACATGAATTTTCCCCCCACGATGTCTTTAAACGTCTCTTGTTTCTATTTTCTCATGCTTTGTTTTGCAGTCCCTCAGGTAATGTGTGATTGTTTTGCAGGAAGTTGAGAAATAGCCATTAGGCATTCATGAAAGGTGTTGGAAAAACATAAAACCATCTCCTTGCTGTCATATCACTTTCAGCGGCTGATTTACGACCTGTATTTAGCTCTGCACATATTCACACATGCACACACAGACAAGCCTACGCTGGGAATAGTATGCCGTTTGTTACAGAGGGAGTTCCTAGAGGCCTTTATAGAAGCTGTCAGTCAAGAAGTGCATGACCTTCAGATAACCTCTGGCACCTTGTTAGTTTACGCATAGTCAATTGATTATGGAAGAGTGATAGATGTGAAGTAGCAGTTTTTAAATAATTGTCACACACATTTGGTGAAAGTACCAAACACTGGAGTCTATTTGTAACTTCTGGAAGTCCAAAAAATGTAGGATGTTTCCAAAAACGAGCACGCGATTGAAGCTTTTATTCTTTCCTCTTTCATTAAAGCTGCTACAACTACGGCAAATATATGAAGCTACTTGAGGACAATTCCCTCTGGGGACTTGCTTCTTTATTTTTGGTCGCCCCATCATCTTCATCTCATTCATTTGTGTGACTCTTTACCATTATCACAGGATATCGAGAACAAACAACGCTGGACTAATACACAACGTATGCAACTTAAACAAAGAAAGGACATTCTTCAAAAAAGCACCCTGTTTACAAATAACTTTTAGCGTATATGATTGTAGTACAGGGGGTGCGCGGGGTCTTAAAAAGTATTACAAGTTGATCAATCAATTTAGCTGAAATTAAGGCTATTAAAAAGTATTAAACGGCATTTTCCAAGGTATTACATTTTGTAGCTTGTTTTCAATAAGTATATAAATTGTCCAAAGAGGTTGTATTCTACAGTGTGCCTGAATGTAATCATTGCGTAGGTGTGTAGTGTGATTCTGTGTAGTTTATTTATGGCATCCCGTTGGATTTGACGTCATCTGAACGCTCACTGCTTGAAAGCGCGCGAAGGTCCGTTTGCGCCGGTTGCTAAACAACATCGTTATGGGGAAATGCAAGTTTGCGTCCAAATGGTTGGAAGATAAGGAGGAAGGACAATCAATACTGTATATAGTCAATGTGAGATAAAGTGTGTCGCCAAGGTAACCGGTTAGAACTCGAAGTGGCGATGAGGTCTTAAAATGTATGGAAAGGGTCTTAAAAGGTATTACATTTGACTTCAGGATTCCTGCATATACCCTGAAGTATAAGGGGTACCCTAACACAATCATTTAATTATAAATGGGTGGTTTAAACGATGCTTAAACAAGTATATTTCTCTGTTATTCATTATGCTTTTAAATCAAACTAAATATCCCGACAGCTGGAAGAGTTCTGACATCGTAACACCTTAACTCTAGGAACTTTAGGTGCTATTATTCTCTGGTTTTTCTGGCTCTATATATTTATTACTTTTATGCTTTTATTATGTGTATGTATCAGATTATGTATCAGCGAAAAGGACATCAATGTTTTCAGTTTCTCAGTGAAATAACTTAAGCCACTTTAGTTTTTCTGCCTTTCTCTCCTGCTGTGTACTTTTCACCACTCTTGTCAATCCCTCTGTGATTGACGTGTGGTTACTCAGCAGCATTTAAGTATGCGAGGTGCAGACAGAAGCACTTCATCCTTGTGTGTTGGTTGGCTGGTTTCACTTGGTTTTCATCCAAAGCATACATGACCTTCACTCAATATGTAGGGATCCGCTCCATTGGCTCTGGATCATTTTGAGGTTTTGGTGTCTGGGCATATTTTATATACACAGCTTAATTAGAAACTACAGCTGAGTGTTTCAGAATAATCAATAATAATAATCAAGTTTGCATTGTTCATTTGAAAAGTAAAGGATGAGAATCATTGGCTATCTAAGTGAGATCAGACCTGCCGCCGTATGCAGTGTTTCTCTCCCTTTGGCAAAACATATTTTAAACATGCGTTTTTCAGGATTAGATTAAGTTTAAATTGAAGATTCTTAAATGAATACTTAATTAAGTTATAGTTTCAATACCGTTTCTCCTATCCCTCATTGAGCACAGCTATGTACCGTGATGCATATGCACCTCAGTGTGAGCGGTCACATTACTTTAGTTTTCTCTATACATTGAGTTTTTAGCTCGACAATTCTTCTCTCTGTGTCGGTGTGTGTGTGTTCATGTTTGTTAGATGTGTATTTCTAGCAGGATGTGTTAGCCGGAGCGCTGAAGGCTGCTCTGGACGGCAATGTAGTTGTTCCCACCCCTCATTGAGCACAGTTATGTGATGCTCACTGTTAGCAGTCACAATACTTTAGATTCTCTAGTGCGGCTCTCACCTCTATAAGGTTTCAATGAGAATATGAGATCACATTCACCTGGGTTTTATTGCAGGTTAAAACTCACACTGCCTTCCACACCTCTACTTTTCTCGTGTGAAAACGTTCTTCTCAGGTGTTACATTACAGGTGGTTTCCTCCTCCTCTGACTATCTCTGTCTCCCTCTTCTTTCTGTATCATCTCTCCGGAAATCATAACACTTTCACTGGGGAACTCTTATTGTTCAGAAAGCTATTTTTATTTTCTCAAAAATGCCTCTGGCTGTATTTCATTAGCATTTTCACAAAGAATCAGACTGCAGTTCACACGAGGAGTCACCAGGGGTGCTGTGCTCTCTCCAGTACTCTTCTCTCGATGACTTTGTCTTAACCCTTCTGCTCAATCACATGTTGACCATCCTGCTTATTGCAGACTAGGCTTAAACCAATGTTTTGTAGTAGGAGTACAGTAATTCATTAAACCTTCAAAGTAAGTTCCTGCCAACAAGACCAATTAAAGTGTCAAATGTTTAATCTTGAACCACACAGTCACGCATCGACAACTAATCCTCTGGGTTCTTCCTTTGGAAAGGCGTAACTTTGAGCTTGTCTATTGCCCACTGTTGATGCAATCCCGTCACCCAAAATAAATGATATCATTATTAAAGGCACGAATAGTTTGGGAGTTTGCATACTCGTGAGATTACTTGAGTCAGGTAAGAGTCATTTGAATTGATCTTTTCTTAACTATGTTTACTGTATGTCTTGACAAATACACAGCCAAACTAATATCCTTTCACATAATAATACACACATTCCAGTTTTTAAATGATACAGTATGAAGCTCATAATAAAGAATTGTATTTATAGTTTTGATGACTTAAGTGAAAACTTGTTTAAAGTAGTGACTTTCTTATGAATAGATAAACTAAATTATGGATTCCCATGTGGTCTTTCACCCCAACATATATAATTATATATATTTTTGCTCTGTGTCGCTCTCCTCTTCCGTCCGGCTGTCCTGTTCTCGCTGACAGACGAGTGTGTGTTTGCTGGTTGGCGTTGTTGTTATCTGTTTACAAGATGGTGTTTGTTCAGAGCTTGATCGTGTTACAGGACAACCCATGCTAACTCGCACACACAAACACATGCGCAGTGCGCGCGCACACACACACACATGCACACACACACACACACACACACACACACACACACACACACACACACACACACACACACACACACACACACACACACACACACAGTAGTCCAGTTTAGACTGTCAGCTAATCCTCCAGCAGTTGCTGAGGCATCAGTCTCCGGCTGATCGCTTTCTGGCCTTGTCTCTCAGCGCAGGGCTTCTGTTTGTCCTGGGACGACTGCTAGGCCTCATAGAGTTTCTTCAATCTTATTTTGTGTTTCTTATTACGTTTATTTTTCCACTTCGCTCCACTATCCTTTTGCTTTCTTAGTTTGAATTGTTGGCCCTGCTCCTTATTAGGAAAAAGATTCCAGCCCTTTTGGAAAACACATCCTGATTAAAGGTTGATTGGATGAGAAGTGTGAAGAGTTCATTTGGAGGAACTTTATCGACAGCAAATTACACTAACGAGAACACTGTGTTAGCAGGAGGGGGAGATTTCTGACAGGCCAAACTAAACATTCCCTCTCTTCCCCCCTCTGCACTCCCTCGTCTCTCTGTGTCTCACTTGCTCTACTACTTGTCAATCAAACCTCTTTCTCTCTCAGTTTGTCAGTATTTTATTGCTAACACTTTTCCCCGCTGTTTTTCTCTTTAAGGATGACATTTTAATAATCCCCCTGGGGAAGCTGTGCCCTCACAGAACCAAATAGTAAAACATTTAATGTAATATGGAATACATTTACAGAATGGGGATTATTTAAAGAGAACATAATTTTGTAAGTCCATTACAAATTATGTTATAATCACACTGAGATTTATAGATGAAAATAAAACAGAAAAGTACAGTGAAACAGCAAAAGGCATAGCATTGGCTTCAAAATAAACGGAACACTCATTCTATTTTGTAACCTTATACAAATCAAGTTAAATTAACATCAAGATTTGCTTAAAGAGTCGCTCATATGTCTTGTATCTGTGCAAAGAGATTGGTGTTTTCTCTATTCATTGAGTTTGTAGCCTGACATTTCTTCTCTCTCTCTCTCATCTCTCTCTCTCTCTCTCTCTCTCTCTCTCTCTCTCTCTCTCTCTCCTCTCTCTCTCTCTCTCTCATCTCTCCTCTCTCTCCTCTCTCTCTGTGTTGTGTCTGTGTGTGTTTTTACGTGTTTGTTTAATGTGTGTTTCTAGCATGATGTGTCAGCCGGAGCTCTGAAGGCGGCTCTGGACGGCGTGGTGCAGGAGTGTGTGAGCTTCGTCGGGGTGGACATCAACATTTGCTCCGAGATGCTGATGAGGTACACGACACATGCGACACATTTGTACTTGTGAAGGGCCTAGATATTCAAACACACACACACACACACACACACACACACACACACACACACACACACATACAAATTGTGAAACAGAGATGAAGTAGGGCTTAGAGACCTCTGACATACTTTCCCTTAGCAGTCACAACATGGCAAAGCCTCATTCACACTTATGCACAGGCGCATGCTTAATGCTTACACACACAGAAACACACACATATAGAGATGGCCTGCCAGGTCTCTGTTTAGACTAATGCTTCACACCCTGGCCTCACTTATTGGGCCTGGAATCGACAGAGGGGATTAGAGAAAGCAGACACACACTATACACACACATCACTCTCACACTAAGAAATATAGATGTATGTATAGTCATAAATATATTTTGTAGTACACTGTGCACTCAGTAACGTATTTACTACAACATGTATAACAGCACATGATTTTAAATAGAGGAAGCACACAAAGTAGATCCAAACACTTGATGGTAGATACACAAAGTATACATGAGCTGGCATTAGCAGCGGGGCAGGCATCAGGTCATCTGTTTACCCGTCTGCTCTGTAAGTGAGCTTTTTCCATTCCTGCCAGAAGTTATGCTACACACATTAAACACACACAGACGTGTTGATGACTGAGGTATTATGTGGAGTGTTGACATTGCCGTGTGTTTCAGGGCGAGTGAGTCACTGTGGGCATTAACAGAGCTGACCTAGTTGAGTTTCAAATCACCTCTCTTCATTGCTCGGCCAAAACTGGACAAATATACTCACTCAATATTAGCTCGTGTGTGTCCTGTGAGTGTTTCCCCTGCTTGTTTTTAGTGCCACGTCACAGTCGGCACAATTCAGCCCTGTTGTTTGTATAGGCGTATTATAGAAACCAGGGGCCAAATAGATAAATGATACCTATGAAAAGAAAACATGAATACACCACTTCCTAAATATTAACTTCTATTAATGAGAAATAAATGTGCGGTGGGGAAATCTGCGCCAATTTCTGACTCCTATAATTTTTTTTACATGACAAATTAGTGGTAAGGGTGCTAGAAATAGCCACACCGGTTACATTTATTATTTTGAATCTTTATCCTTCCCCTAGTTTCATTTTTTACTGTACTGCTTCACACATTATCATCCAATTTTGAACCAATATAAACACATAGACCTCCAAAAACTTCCAGTAATATAATAAACAGATGATGTGTTGTGACATTTCCCTTTTTCATGTGTTGTTCTATCTGCTAGGCATGTGGCAGGCCTAATGTAGGGCGTGGCGAAGAGTATTGCAGAAGAATGGAGAGAGCAGAATGGTCCCTTCAACAACAGGGAACAACTCAAACTGGTGAAAGGCATGGGGCCCAAAACCTACCAGCAGTGTGCCGGCTTCATCAGAATCAACCCGCAAACCCTACACAGGTACACACTTGTGCTACACGCTAGGGATGCATACCGGTATTACCGAAATACCGGTTACTGGTGGCTACGGTATACCGTACCAAAATCAGATCCGGTTTCGATACTTTAAAAAAAAAAAAGTTAACTATATCGTAAAGCGCTTCATGGGAGTAATTGTGGGATGATACATTTTCAAAGTATCACGATATGTATCGGTTGAGTATCGGTATCGTTCAGTGGTATCGGTATCGTAAAAAAGTCAACGATATGCATCCCTACTACACACTCAAAAGTATTAATGGTGAAATGTATACAACATGTAAAACCATGTAGAGCAGAGATAGGTGACAGGAGTCGTTCCTCTATGGTGGCGTACGGAGCAGGAGTTCTTTTCAGAAATAGTTTTCATTATAACGTCATTTTAACTGAAATAGTACTGGATAACATTTAGAAAGTGAATGTGGATTTCTTTAGTGAGTGATGCAAACTCAATGAATCCTAATAACCTCAGATGTATTGGAGTTGAATCAGGAATCTCACAGGCAGACGAAATACATGTAAACTGCCTACAGCTAATAGATGCCAATAGAGATGATTGATAACATGTTTTTTATGTAATTTGATGATTTGAGGCCTTTGATGGAAGATGTTTTTTGTTATGATGGCTTTCTCCCTCATAAATTGTCGCTTGTCCAAACAGTGCCAAATCCTCGCCTCACCCTGTACCTGAGAAACCAGCAGTTAAGAAAAGCAAAGGAAAGACTTGCGTCAACATACCGACCTCATTTAACCCCCTGGACCAGACCTGCATTCACCCCGAGTCCTACCACGTGGCAGAGAGGTACAGTACACACAAACATACACACACACACACACACACACACACACACACACACACACACACACACACACACATACACACACACACACCCACACACACACACACACACACACACACTTGTACAGCAGCTTACCCACTGGCCGAAGCATGTTCGAGCTTAGATGGAGTCGATTGTGACACCGTCTCATATGGGGCTGGTTACAGCGGTGGAGGACTCTGATTTGATTTACACAGACATGGGATACAAGAGCGGAGGCGTTGGCTTGTACGCGCGTATGTCAGTGTGACTGTTTCTGTGTCTGTCCTTGTGTGAGAAATTATTGTTAGCACCACTGATGCTGATATCAAAAGCACATTGAACATCTGCCTAAGGTGTGTGTGTGTGTGTGTGTGTGTGTGTGTGTGTGTGTGGTGTGTGTGTGGTGGGTGTGGGTGTGGGTGGGTGTGTGTCAGGCAGCTGTAGTCACTCAACTGTGTTTAGTCTACACAAGTTCTGACACTAGTGGCTCTAAGCATCGCTCGCCTCATGTTGATGTGCCTTTAATGGCCTGTGTGTGTGTGCAGATTTGTGTCGGTGCGCACGTGTGAAGATAGGTTGCTGCTGCTTGTATGAAACAGTTTTTGCTTATCTCTCCTACTTCAACTAAGTAACCATATATGTATTTGGGTTGATGTGGTTCTGTGTTCAGTATAGACAGTAGATCAAAGAGCTGTTAGGGGTGAGAGGTTTCAAAGACCATCCCCTTTATTTACTTCTTCCTTTTCTATTTGTTGCCTTATTCTTTGAACACACCCTTTCCTTTAGTCCAAATCCTCTTAGCTCATGTTTTTTTAAAGGTTCACTGGCCAATGGATATTTACATTTGACCTTCTATTTAATATATAACAATTATTTTTAGGCTGTAAAATGTTGCTGATTTTCAATACTTTTGTGCCCTTCTTTAATTAGGAGGAATGCTGTGTGTGTGTTTGTGTATGTGTTTCAATGCGTGAGGGCGCGTGTGTGTGTGTGATTGACTTTATGGTGTATAAGGAATATCATGTTCATCACATTACTGAAACTGGATCCTCCATTACTGCTCACAGCCCACACATCACCCACTTTTTGTAACCATATACAACTTAAACACATTCTCTCTCTCTCTCTCTCACACACACACACACACACACACACACACACACACACACACACACACACACACACACACACACATGCACCGACTCTTTGTTTATTCAGACATAGTTGGTAATGTTTGCCTAAAAACAAATATTGCTATGTAACATTTCTCTAAAGAGTGTTAATGTTCAGCTGCAGAGGATCAGCTCGTTCAGAATATCATCTAAATATAAGTGAAGCATATTATTGTGGGGCAGTTGGTTCCATTTCATGAAACGTATTGTATTACTCCGATTTGAGATAGAGGGGGTCCACTATATGATGAATACTTATCTGATATTTAACAGTCGGGGCCCAATACTTCTATAATACAAGACAGAGTGGGTTCTTGCTGTGTGCCTGGATAAAATCTATAGAAGAGCCCACCCAACCATACACACACACACACACACACACACACACACACCACACACACACACACACACACACACACACACACACACACACACAGTGTTGGTAGTAATTATATAGCGTGAACCCAACAGTGGTGGAGGCCTCTGGACTTCTGGTACCCCTTAAATACTAACATGCACCCTTGGAAAAATGAGACGGACACACACACACACACACACACACACACACACACACACACACACACACACACACACACACACACACACACATACACACACATATACACACACACACACACACACATACACACACACACACACACATACATACACACACACATTTGAAGGTGCACTCTCAAACACACATACACACACACCTGAAACCCACCACCCACCAAACCGATGTAAGAGCCAGAATACAGGCTGCTCTTAGTCTAACACTGCTTTCCCTTTCATTCCATCATGAATCTTTTGTTGTCACTCATTAAGGGATGCTCCTGTATTTTAGACTGAACTCTGTAGCCCATTGAACCTTGTGTGTTGATAAGTTTAAAAGTCTGTAGTTTGATTGTTTGAGGTTCTACTATCAGTAATCATCCATTGAGAAAAGCCTGTCGTGTATTTAAACAGAGAAACGGTCAGTATTTTTAACGTGAGTCCTACTGTAGTTGTGTAAACAGCTTTCCAAATATCTAGTAAGAAGATAGTTTTCTCTTGGAGGAAAAAAAGTCAACCTCATATTCCTTTTTTGTAGATAAACTATGAAAAGAGAGAGGAAGAGTGATGATAGGCTAGATTTAAACCATGGGGGTGATGTGGTATTCATCTCAGACCGCTAGGCCACCAAGACACAAGTATTTATTCTCCTGTAAAGAGATATACGCATGGAAAGGTAAGAAGCTTAGGGAGACGCATGAGACCAGATCCTAGTGTTAGATAGTTTGGTCCAAAGGTGTCGTTTCCTCACCACTAAGCCATTTCTGGCACATACTCTGCTACTATTTTGTACCAATGTGGATTTCTGGTGTTGAGGGATTGATTCCGCGTGTCTTCCTTCTTTGGACGCTAGACGTTGGGCCTCTCCACTCACAGCTGTCCCTTACATAGTTTGTACACAAGCTGTGTCCCGTTACATCCGCACTGTCCCTGCTACTGCCAAACCAGCATTTCTGAACAACATTGTGTATGAATCAACTTGTGTGTGTCTGTGGGTTGTAATATGTGTGTGTCCACCTGTTCTGTCCATCATGGGGGGGGGGACAGCTGCAGAGTCTGTTAGGCGTCAGGCTGCCAGTGAGCGACATCCATCACGGATGCTACCCAGCTGGTTCCACACATGCACAGAGGCAAATGCATTCACATCTATCAGCAGTCGTAGAAAGTGCCTACTGTAAATAATATATACAGTACACACAACTCTCACACAGACACACACATCATGCATTTTTCCATAATCCCTATTTTCATACTCTGGCTCTCATACAAGTTTATTACTAAGTCAGTTTAATATAAATGATGGCTAATTGGTTTGGATTTAAACTTAAGGCTCAGTGCGTTTTAAATGGTGCAACCTGACTGACTGTCTAGACATTTTGGAGGTGGGATATACTGCTCAAAACATGTGATAGAGGGACTTTTTTCCAGGCGGTGTACAGATGGACTAACAGTCGTACCTTAGCAAAGTGGAGGCAGTTTCATGAGACAAGGTGACAGGGCGTTTACAGCCCACTGTGGATTTCCCTGATTTAATAGGGGGTAAAATAAACGTGTATTTGTGTGTGCTTTGAGAACAGAAAGCTCCGTCTCAGCAGCTCATGACTGTGTGTGTAATTACTCCAACACCCCTCCCTCCCTCCCTCTTATTCCCCCTCAGCGCCCTCTCACTTTACCTGCATCAGCTTAGCTTGTTACTTACCCTACTTCCTACGTCTTGGCTTTTCTCATCTTTTGTTTCTCTTCTTTTTGACAGTTATACTTTTCTTCCCTCAACCATTCTTCCCAGCCTGTCGTCACTTTCCCCCCTACTCACATCCCTTCCTCTTTCCCGCTCTGTTACTCCATCCCTCACAAGCTCAGGTCTCTGTTTCAGTTTGAGAGGGAGGTGGTGCATAAACCCAACTAGCACCACTCGCTTAATAAAACTCAATTATGAACACTGTCTCTTGCTGGCCACTTCATGAACCTGTGTGTTTTGTAGTTTGAAAAGTTTAACTTTCACTCTCTGCACCATCTTTTAACATGATTTATTGACTTTACTTCTATCCAGGTTTCTGTCCCTCGTGGGTGGGAGTGCAGACCAGATCGGGAGTGCAGGCCTGCGACAGTATGTGGAGAGCAAGGTATGGACCAGCAGTGTGGAGGAACTGGCCAAGACCGTGGACAGCACACCTGAGACCCTCAAACTCATCATCGATGGCCTCGCGCAGCCCCCCGGGTTCGACATAAGACAAAGTAAGACTCCTGCCATTCACCGTCACACTAAAATCAGACTACATAACAAAGTAAATATGCAACACAGATTAAAAAATGGTCTTAGATTTCAGATTGTGGAAGAAATAGAACAACGTTTACATGAGTTTATGTTCAGTACATACTACAATTATCGATTTATGGCTAACCAAATCGAGCAAAACCACAGTTAAACCCTTTTCTTCTCAGTATTCAAGTCAAACATTTGGTATTATGAAAAAACCCATCAGTAAATGTATATAACTGCAACACAGCAGTCACACTAGCGTCTCTCATTGTTCCTTCATAATATCCTTTATTGGTCCCTACTGACTGGTAGAAAGGTATTTCTTTGCTAGTTACAACTCACTGTGACTTTTCTTGTGCCATTATTATAATAGGCATGTCTTGGTATTGTAACCGGATAGAATCTGGCTTCCTCTCTGTAGCCCAACAGCACTAGTATGCTTCTGACAGTGTGTGATGGGTCCAGCAGACTGCTGTAGGACACAGTATTTTTACACACACACACAAACACGCACACATACATATATTCAAGAAAGGTCTGTTTTTCTCATACTCTTGAGTTCAGGCACGCATAAACATGACACTACAACCATAGACAATCATTTAGATTTTTAGCCCAATTTATATTTCCCGAGAATAATTTGACTTTCTTTGTTCTTTTGGGACCGTTGGTCAAATAATGAGTCCCTGTGAACTTTATGGTTCAATGATATAGTTGACTAAAATGCTCAGTTTGCCTTTTCATTTACTTTATAAATAAGCAAAGGGCTACTTTGTCTGAGGTTATAAAATATTTAACTACGGCTGCCTTTCAAAATTACAAAACAATAAGTTGCTTCCGCGCCTTTTTATGTACAGAGAAAGAAATCCAGCTTGGGTACCCAGTTAGTGCTGGCTAACTCTTTCTAAAATGAAGGAACGCAGCTTCAAGGTTCATTCTCAGGTTGGCCCTATTCGGTTGCAGCGCACTTCGCTTGGCCTCCGAGCCGGTGCTCAGCTGAGTAAACAGATGGGCCGAGGCTACCGCATGAAATCAGTGCTGTAGGGAGGATAATTGGACCGGACTATTTCCTGGGGCGCAAGCCTTCCTTGTTTGTGTTAATGCCACAGAAAGGAAATAGATCTCTCATGAACAGGCCAAGTGGAAAGTGATGTAGATTGAAGTGCTGAAAAATGTGGAAGTATGCAGACACAAGTATTGGGTTGCTGCTCGAAATGAAATATCTGTTTGTCATTTCTGCCCCGCCCCCCTCACTTTCCTGCCCCGCCCCCTCACTTTCCTGCCCCGCCCCCTCACTTTCCTGCCCCGCCCCCTCACTTTCCTGCCCCGCCCCCCTCACTTTCCTGCCCCGTCCCCTCACTTTCCTGCCCCGCCCCCCTCACTTTCCTGCCCCGTCCCCTCACTTTCCTGCCCCGCCCCCCCTCACTTTCCTGCCCCGTCCCCTCACTTTCCTGCCCCGCCCCCTCACTTTCCTGCCCCGTCCCCTCACTTTCCTGCCCCGCCCCCTCACTTTCCTGCCCCGCCCCCTCACTTTCCTGCCCCGCCCCCTCACTTTCCTGCCCCGCCCCCTCACTTTCCTGCCCCGCCCCCTCACTTTCCTGCATCCCTTTTCCCGCAACCCCTCCCTAGCATTAGTGCTATCTGCCAGCTTTACCTGATTTTGTCATAGATCCATCTTCTTCACTTGCATTTAGCCCTCACACTTTTTTGACGATGTATTTTTGATCTCTTTTTGCCATCCCCAGGTTTTGGGAAGGCGGTCTTTAAGCGGGGCATTGTATCGATGAGTGATCTGCGGGTGGGTGCAGTGCTGACGGGCCAGGTGGACAACGCCACTCTGTTCGGGGCTTTTGTAGATATCGGGGTTGGCCGCTCGGGTCTTATCCACAAAAGCAAAATCACACTGGACAAACTGCCTGCCAGTCAGCGCCGCCGCAGCCTGGCTCTTGGACCTGGGCAGCGGGTGGAGGTCCGGGTCCTCAATGTGGACCCTCAGAGGGGACGGATCGGGCTGGACCTGATCAGGGTCCTGGAATAGATTCACTTATTTCCCATATTTCATGCCTGTCATAAAAGTTACACACAAAGCTGCTGAAAATGCAATGACTTCATGATATGTACATGTTCTTATAAGCAGGTTCAAACTATTTAAGTGTATTTATATGAATGGCTCTTTACTTTTCACACATTCCTCTAATGACGGTGTATTTGCCAGGGCCTGCAATTTCAGCATTTTTCCTGCAAATATATTCAATTAAAATATACGGTTGTCCATTTTAACTCAGAACATCAACGACAAATGGAGCAAAAATAAAACTTCCTCACAGTTATGCTAAAGGTGGGAAGACTTCATTTCCCCTGAAGAAGTTTTTCTCAGGTAGATTTAGTTTTCTGCCCGTTTATAATCCCTGTGTATCTTTTGATTGAACGCCAAACCTAAGTGCGTAATTCAGGGCAAAATAATGTTATCTTTATATTAGATATTTAATTTCCCATCTAGCATTCTGCACAAACTACTTTCTCCTAGAGAAGATTTTGATTTTGATTTTGCTTATTAGCAGAAGATAGCTTCATAATAATAATTTAAAATGACTCTTTCTGTATTCCCACCCTTGTTCTGCTTTGAAGTGCTCCGAACAGTTTGACAATACACGTGTTTGTTTCTTCTGTTGAAGAAGATTTAGTTTCTGTGTTTACTGTGTTCGGATATCAATCTGTGACTGGCTTATCGTTTCAATTAAAAAATATTTTCTGTATACCTCTTGATTTATATTTTCTGAAAATGATGAATTCTGCAAAGTATCTACTCAGAAGTGTTTTCTCATCCCATTGGAGAGGAGACTGGATGGAAATTAGCTCAAAGCTAAAATCTAGCATATTGTCTTAAGTGTTCATTAATGTGCATTGTCCCTATTCAAATAAACGATTAAATGAAAATGAGAGGCATGGGTGAGAATGGAAAAAAGGGAGGATAGCAGGGAGAAAACAAAGGTGGGGGTGGAGTAGAGGAGTTGAGTGATGGAAAGAAGAGTAGTTTAAAAACAAGTGTTTCTTCTAGACAACAGAAACATTTGAAAACAAAATAAGCAGGCTTGGAGGGGGATGGGCAAAGGGGGGTTAGGAGGAGGTGTGTGTGTGTGTGTGTGTGGGGGGGGTTCTATCTCCCAGACTGCTGTAAAGCCTGCAGGCATTTCAGGCATGGTCCCAGACACAATTATCCCAGGACACAAACACACTAATCAGCTGCTTCAAAATTAATCCCAGACTCCCCATCCACATTATCTAATTTGTTTGTTTTTATGAAACTGGAATAAATAAAATAAATGCATAAAATATGGTTCAGAGAAAGCCTGAGGTCCCCTGTGCTAAACCTTATACTGGATTCAGAATACCTAATCACCGTTAGTGCTTCACTATCTCCCCTTTGGGGAACAAATGGAATATATTGTAGACACACAAACACAAAGAGATGTTCGATCAAGGTTAATCACAAGTGGCAGTTTGCTCAGTGATGATCTGAGAAGACTACACACACGCAGTCAGATCATTGTCTTGCTTTGGGCATTTCTTTTTCAAAAGGGTTTCTATTTTCTAATCAAAGTGGCTCATTTAGTTTGACTTTAACTCCTTTTGTCATTTTGTTTTGTGTTTCTTTTCATGCAGTATACTGTAGCTCGGCCCGAGTTTTAATGTTTCCAATGTTTTTGTCTTGGGGAACACATGTATTCGTGCAAGTAGACACAGCTTCCCTCAGCATCATTCCTGCTTGTCCTGCCTTTAATTGTCCTCCCTCTGCTAAACGTGAGCACACAGATGGGACAGGCAATCTGGCAACCTGCTGCCCTCAGAGTTTTTGTCAAACACTGACCAGTAATGAGGCTCTGATAAGAAGAAGAGACACTGCGGGAGTAGTTGTGTGCTTCTCTGTTATCCTGTGCTGCCCTGGACACAGCTGTTTGGTATGCACTGAGCTCAGGTGTGCCTGACGTTCTGGTGAACATTGATTGTGAGCTTTGTGTTGTTTCATAAGTCATTGGTCATTAAAAGTTAACAGAAGAACAATCCCAAATGGTCATGCAGGGTTCTCTTTACTCATCTTTTGATCCAGATCCACACAGGTGAAAACACATCTTAACTTCTCTCACACAGTAGAAGAGAGACTAGTTCTCACAGCTGGTAAATGCATCCTGCTAAGAGAACATTGAGTAGAAAATACAACAGTCCGTCTATCTCTGATTTCTCAGACCACCTGTCAAAGAACATGAAGAAGTCTAAAGCAATACTAACAATCCTTTAAAGCAACAGCAATGGGAACAATGTAGATGCAATCAATGTGGGCAGTTATTGATACTGCCTAATGAAACAATATTATAGCATAGTATTTAAAAATGCCATAAAACATTTGACCATTCAACAGTGCATACAAAACGTCTTGTACATTCATGAGAAATAGCGTCATTACTTTAAATATTGAATGCACTATTGTTGTCTCTTCTTTACCGACTAGAGCGATGACTCCACAGCTGCATTAGCAATAATCAAAACAATAAATCAAATTGCTATATTGAATCCTGCTTTTTAATAGTCAAGTGCTGGAATATGACTGTACCTCTAGTTCTTGTCGTTGTGCTGTGAACACTTTTCTTCTTGTTGTTCCTTGATTGCTTCAGTGTCATTGCAATGATTGTGCTGGTTTCTCCTTCCAACAGAGAATACCCGCAGGTTAGCGGTGCAACCACTGACATCAATACAGTCTCTCTTTGGCTGCACATTGAGAGATCCCTGTGGTCTGCACACATTTGTACTGACAGTATAACAAAAGGTTTTACTCACAACAGCTGATGACGTAGGCTACTCAAATTGGTATTTGATACTGAAAATTGATATTTGTTGCGGCCCTAGTTTATTTACTTGCTTCTGTATTCTGTAAATGAAATACAGAAATGTTTGAGCATATTAGTCGAGAAAAAAAATCACCACTCGAGAAAGGAGTTTTTTATGTGACGGAGCTAACATCAGTCACTTTTAAAAACATTCTCTCATACTCCAGTTTTCCAGTGTCGGGTTACACATACTGCATTTTCGAGATAACAGGGTGAGAAGGATTTTGACATTTGGTGAGTGAAGTATAGGCAGAATGGTGGAGGAGAGAGAGGGATGGAATGAGACAGGAAATGAAAGGCTTTCTCCGGTTTCACTCCCCGTGACCTCATCAGTGTGATCATGGGTTTTATGAGCTTTCCCTCTCGACGCCCACACACCACCTCACACGTGCCAGGACACACACACACTGCAGCCCGTATATTTCATTCACTGGCGGGAGACAAACACACCGTACATGTGTTTTTGTCTCTCTGTCTTTTCCTTACCTCACACGCTCTCTGTCAACCTTTCACATACTTCATCACACACCGTGGCTTTCAAAGAAGCCGACACTACTTAGAGCCATTGAAACACAAATACTGACAGAGAGAAGAAAATGTGTCTTCCTTAGTGATAACAGTAAAGTAGGAGCCTCTGTGTGATGAAAATAAACATTTTAAGCAAGCAAATTTGATCAATAATGTATGAAACCTGTCACATTTACATATTCTGTTATATTTACATATCCCATACATGCACAACAGTCAACAGACATTGTAACACAACAGGTTTTCTTGATGTTAGATTATGTTGCTTTTAGATTTACATTTTGCCAACGGAGCATATAAAAGCTTACCCAGTGAAAGATAAATGGCAGTGTCTGATGAGTAGCAGTTAGCACATTTTCCTCGTTGGAGGACGTACTGTATGTCCTTTCCTGAAAAGCTTTTCCATTGCACGTGTGTTTCCCCTCCTTTTCTCTCGTCGTTCTTTCCTCCAGGTCTCAATAAAGCTACTCACATATTCACATTTTCAAGCAGCTTTGCCACTTATCTCCACAAAGTAGGAAATGTATTAAGACTGTGAGTTTGTTTTAATCAGTATTAAGTGGGAAAGGAACCACAGGATGGTGTATGGCAAGAGAAATGTCCCCTTAGCAATGATTCTTGTCTGGGTACATATTTTCTTAGGTGCCAGGTGTTCACCAGCATTCCTACACTCTCATACAGAGATGATAGGAAATAATGTTTTGATTAATTTTGCTTTTACATCGCTGCACTACCTTAACACTGTTTTATGTACAGTAGACACACATGGCAAAGGAAAACGGAGCAGAATGTAGTAATAGATTAATGATGAGAAAGTGAGACAGCAACCAGTCGTTAAGATCTGTTAAGGTTCCAACTTGCCAAGGTCAAATATATTTATAAGAGGAGATTTAGTTTATATTGTGTTAATGGACCATGCATGTCGTATACCAACAAATTAGAGCTATGCTTTATTTTTTAGTAAGGAGGCGTGAATGAAATTGAGAATACCCCAAATCCGGTACAGATCGGTAGACTCACGGTTATCGCCAATACTGACTGACTTTACAAACTTTACTGACACTCCTGATGCTCCAGTGCCCTCTTGTTCCAACTGTAAAAGTCTTTATAACTCACTTTATATACATCTTTTTTAATTTATGTTTTATTCTAAGGTAACATTAAGCTCTTGATCCTCAGCCTATCATAACAACCTAGTGAGGCTGTCCAACAACATCATCTCTGACCCAAACCATGTTCTGAACAGTGAATATGAACTGCTACCATCTAAACGGAGATACAGGGTCCCACGATTCAATAAAGTCAGACTGAAGCATGCTCCTTTGTGCATCAGTCAATCCTCTCAGTAAACACAGAGCTAAATCAGATCAAATGCACGCTGAAGGCTCTTTGAGCAGCTTTTCTCTCACTGATTGTGCTATTATGTTAAATGTTTGTTGTTTGTGTTTCATGTATTTTTGTCTGGATATTTGTCTGTTGATGTTGGACATGGAGCTGTTGTGAAATTTCAGACTTGATCTGACAAATAAAGTCGTATCGTATCGTATCCCCAAGGGCACCAGAAAACAGAGTTAAAAGCCACACCAGATCTATGGTTACCACACCATAGAGCTGGTGTGGTAACACCATCTTACCACACTGAAAGAGAAGCTGTATGTAAAGTGGGTCAATTACATCATGGCTGCTTCATAAGGTCAGGACTTGGGCCAATTCAAATCTAACAATTCGTATGCATCCTTTTTGAACACTATATGAAGCATACTGTAAATATTGACGAAATATTATTCGTACAAAATTAAAAGCACGCATGATTTAGGTTATCATTTTAATAAATCTAGTAATCCATTGAAGTATGCTACGTCACATTCAACACTTTTAGTTAGATTGAAGACTGTCGGATGCAACAAGTCCACAACTCCCTCTTTTTGATTGAATAGTAAGTTAAACTCACAGATCTATCTCTATATACACAGCTCCCTCCAGAGCAGCACAGTGAGATCCGTTCAGGGATGACGACGCCTCTTCCTGTTCGGGTCATGACCGTTGCTGGTGGCTTGAAGTGATTGACAGCTGAGTGTTTGGATAAGGTTGCCATCTCTAGGGATTTACCATAGGGGAAGGCCTTTATACACATCCAACATATAACACTGGCAAGATCACTCACACACACAGACTTGTAGAACATACACATTCACACAAAAACATATAGACACAGAGTCCAGGCACACCTCCTCCATGCTGTCATACATATACAGAGAGCATATCTCATCCTCATATCTCATGTTCATCCCACAGGGACTCAGTCTGAGACCATAGCAGACCTGTGTCATGGGGAGGAAGGAAGTGGAGC